TGGGGCTTTTAAAAAATAATCAATAGGTTTTACAGTGCTAAGCAAAAACACGCATAAAATGAAAAAAAAATAAGGGACCAGTCTGTTATTGGTAGAAATGTGTTTTCAATAAGAAATCTTATAAGAAACAAATAGATGTAGAAATAGAGTATTAGACAAATTCCAAGTCCATAGGAAAGCAAAGTATTCAGTAATAAAAAAACCCCTGAAACTCTTGTAAGCTTTAATTAAAAAATAAAACTAAACTCTGATTAATACCCAGAAAAAGTTGCTTTTGAATATTTTCTCTTTTCAATCCTCAATAAAGATCCTGATTTGAAAAAAATGGAGTCAGTAAGCACAGAGAAAGTACTAAAGCAAAGACAGTTCAAATGTATTTGGTTGAATTCTTCCTAACGATGATGATATTTGTCAGAAAAGGCCTCTTAGCTGAGAAAGAGAAGAGAAAAGTAAAGTGGGAAGAAAAGTTCTTGGAATTTTTTTTGAAGGAAAAGTAATAAAAAATTTTGGAAATATAGCAAGAGAAGACAATTCATCAGAGAAGCCTTAGACAGGAAGTTAGAGTGCTAAGGGACTTGGGGAACTCTGGCCCATGTGGAGATGACATTGTCCTCATCACTTGAATACCAGTCAAAAATTTTAGACAGCAGTTGACCTTATTCTTCCTTTTTGGACAGATGACACTTTCCAAATGATGCTGGTGGTGCTGCCAGCAGATTAATTTATAGATCTTCAGTGGACAGATAAAACTTTCCCAAGCTCAGCCCAGGTGATCAGTCAGAGCATAGTGCAGAAAAATGGCTATTGATGCTTTTCCTTTTCCCTCTCAGAACATTCACTCAGAGCATCTTTCTGCTAATCCTTCTCTGGACTCAAGCTCAGTTCTTTTTTCTGCTGTTTTTATAGGTCTCTCTTCCCCACTGTTGTCTACAGGAGGCAGTTTTCTATATGAGGGACAAGAAAGTGTCTCATGAACCCCCTGATGTGATGTATATCTTACTTTCCATTTTCATCCTGCACTTCCATTGCTTCTGCCAATATTTGTTTTCTTTCCTTTCACCACATCAGACGTTCTCAGTATGTCTGTAGGTACTGGTCCTCTTGATTTGAGAATCAAATGGCTTCTCAGCTGTCATCTGGGCACTTCTTCATTATTTTCCTTTATAAAATATTTTTTGAAAGTTGAGAAAAATGAGCAGAAAATAGCATAATAATTATCAGATAAATTCTCTATCTCAGCAAGATATTTTTTTGCCAAGGGCAGCATGTAGGAAGGTGTAAGATAATGAATGATGAGCAGAGTTTTTCTTAGCACATGGCTGTGGAGCAATATTGGGACAGCTCACTTCGGGAGGAAAAAAACTTATGAATGCAGTGGTTATTCTTCACTTTTTTGGAGAATATTTTTCCAGAAATGCCTATGTTATATGCATTTTGGGTGATCAACAGTTAGTCCCTGTGCAGATTGTTGTGGCCCAATTTTTGCTTGGGTAGAGCCAGGACTGGGGTTCTACTCTTTCTCTTCAAATGGAAGTACCTAAGATTATTTTCTTTGCTTCATTTTAAAGCACCAATCTGTGCTATAATATTTGTGTTTACTTTGATAAGCAGAAGTTAGTAAACCTTTCATACTTCCCTATATCTTACTTTTTCTTTAAAAAATTCAGACCTTTTAATGATCATTTATGAATGCAAGTGGGGCAAGCATTCTAAGATACTCTCAAATTATACAAAAATACAGCGTAAAAAAGTTTAAAAATTGAATAGAAATACAAGGAACACAGTGTGGAAATTTCGTAAGATTTAGGAAATGACACATTTCAATGCCAAATGTAGCAATTTGCAATTACAATTTATTCTAATTGAATTCCAGGTACTCTATATTTATTACTTGCCTAAGGAAATCTCACTTCTCTCCTTTTGGCTGCCATCTTTAACACAGCATTTATATTATTTATTTATTCCCACAAAAATCTCTGGGTTCTCTTTTTCTGATAACTGCTTGAAAGTTGTACATAAACTTGAAGCTGGATAGATACCTGTATCCTGCCCGAAGACATTTGTAGAGTTTAGGACTGGCCTGATTCAGATGCTGTGGGATTACACAAAAAGAGTCTCAGTCAGCTAGGAGCAAGGTCATCGATGAGCTGTGATGAGTTGTTTTGTCAGTGGATATTTCTTCCACAGTAATATAAATAGTGGGCTTTTTGTTTGTTTTGTCCAGCTTTTACTAACTATCATTTTGTGTGCTTCCTCCTCCCTCCCCTGAGAATTTTAGTATGGAATAATATTTTGTTAAATCAGAGGATCTTTTACTGTATAGGCACTCACTATGATCTGAGAAAGACATCCGGACACCCAGTGCAGAGTCATTATATCTAGAAGTGGAGCTAATTAAATTTAATTATGACTACATCCCTGTAGAGACTTTTAGGAGCATTGTGTAAAAAGAAGTGAGGTGTAGTACTGAATGTGTGGGGGGACAATGAGGATGGGAGTTGGACAGGTGGTCTTGCATGCTTAGAACATTTCCTGTGGTAAGAAAAGTGGCTGGTGTCCTTTCTTTAAAGGATTAATCTTCTTATTTACATATATGTGTGTGTGTATCTGTTCATGTGGGATGCAGAGAAGCCAGCAATATGTAAATGAATCTGTCTACAGGGTAAGCTGTGGTGAACCTTCTAGAATGAATAGCTAACTGAATGATGTTTTCTGGATTTTCAACAAGTTCAAACAAGTTCATTTATAGATGTAAATAGTGCATTGAGGGGAGTTAGAATAACTCACCAAACAGCATTGATACTACTGAAAAAATCCAAATAAATCTCTAGCTTGTCTCCATGAGCATCCTTATTCTCACTGTGTTCTGTTTAATCCTCCAGTTTTCTCAGGGATATATATTATCTGGAAATATGTTTTGGTTCTGTAAATTATTAATGTTATTAAAATTTATAATTTTCTGTCATTACCTCTAGGAAAATAGAGATTGTAATGTGAAACATAATTGTCTCATTTTGCGATTTGTGTTATGATAGTTGAGCACAACAAAAGCGGATTGAAGTATTCCCCTGAGCAGTATGACGTGGGATTGCAAACTAACTGGAGCTCTGTGTGTGCAGATAAATAAACAGATAAACTAATTCCACAAATGACCAATATTTGTGTTTCTGAGACATCTTTGAAAGGCTGTGTATCGCTTAGAGGGGACACAAAATGTGTGCGGTGAGAGCTGAACTGAAGGTTTGGATAAATTGTGATTATGGTTTTTTTTGGCTTTCAGCCATTTGGTCTGTGTGCCTACCAAGGGATGCAGCTGAGGAGGTTATGAGTTAAAGCTACGCCATAAAATTGTCTCTCCCTCAGACTTGAGCTTAGATATAGTGTGTGGTTTTAAATTCCCTCAGATCCACAGAGGGGAAATCAGGAGGGGTCTGTAGAGCTTGGGGGTCTGCTACATTGTCTCCTTGCAAGGCTAGAAAATGCTTTCGAAATAGCATTTTCTATTAAACCTCAAAATCTTTGTCTTCTATAAGAATATGTTTGTTTTCTGATTTACTGTTTTCATGCCACACTGGTTGGTCTGTCATTAATGCAATGAATTTCACCTTCTTCAAAGTTAAAAATTCATGTTCCTAATAAAAAAGATAAATTGGCAAAGAACTAAATTGAGCAAAGGTACAGTACTAGTCAACCATAACAAGTAATTATTACAACCCCATGGTCATTTCACTCACAGCTTGACAGAGAAAATGGCAAGAAAACAAAATAATTTTTTTTTTCTTGAATGTTAAATGTCCACGGCCAGGTTCAATTCTGCTGCTGATGCATCACAAGGTGTGGGCCATGTTGACCAAGTACCTGCAGCACCACGAGTATTTGCAGCCCCCTGAAGCTGCAAATTTCTGAGAGAGCCCTGTGCAGGCTGGGCACTGGGCTGGGCCAGCTGTGCAGCTAGGGCAGTCCAGCTGTGCTGGGAATGGGCTGATGTGACTTGCAGATGCTGCTGGTGGCCCTGGTGAGGAGCTGGGATGTACAAGAGGTGCCTGGGGGGTGAGTGCAGGCAGCAGTGCCTCCTGCCAGGATGAAAACATCACAAGCTGCACCTTTATTATGATTTCAGGATCAGCTAAGCCTGTGTTTTTCAAACTGGGGTAAAAAAAAGAGGTTTGGTTTTGTGTCTTTCTTTAAACATAAAATGTGTAAAGCATGGAGTTGAGCTGGCTTCAGTCTCCCTGTAAGAGCAGTAGATGCAGGCTTTATCCCTGGATGGATTAGGAGGTTGGGGTATGTGAAGGTCTGCAGAGAAGCTTTAGAAGTTGTGAAGCCTGGAAAGAAAAAGCAACCTGTCCTTGCAGTCTCTTATATCTTCTCCCAAATTATTCTGTGTGCACAGCCTGATGTTCCTAAATGTGTCAGACCCCTCCATAAAGTTTCTCCTATTTTTTATTTTGTAATACAGGTAACCTCAAAAGACTTCCTTGAGTCATTATCAGGATTAGTCTGCAGAAATGATCTACTGTACTTATGGGAAAAGTGCTTTCTTTTAATGTTGTTCACAGGTGAAAGAGCCATATTTCCTGAAGACTGTTATGTTTTTCAGTTGTTATTTTTGTCCTGAGGATATAGTGAGGTTCTAGTCTGTCAAACAAAAGGTCTTCCTATATAACTTTCATTTCAAAGCTGCTTCTTTTTTGTTTTGTTTTTAAGAAATCTATTGAGACCATTTTGGTGCTTTCCTTTGAGGAACTACATCTGCAAAATTGTAGTATTGCCAAGATAGATGATACCGTGTTAGACTGTTTTCTTTTGTTTCAAATGATGTATTAAAAAATAGCGTTGTTGTCATTAAACACAAAATAACATTTGGCCTGGACTAAGCATGTGCATCTCTAAAATTTTTCTTCTATTGTCTTTTAAAAAACATTTAATCAATAATGAAAGAGATACATAAAATGTCTGGACAAATCAATGTTTCTAAATGGCTGTGTCTCCATTCACAGGAAATTACTGACAATGAGATACTAGAGTTGGTGCATAGTGCTCTGGGGAGGATGACAGTTATCCGGCAAATTTTCCCTCTGTCAAGGGACAACAACCAGAGGTGCATGAGGAACAACCACCGGATATCATCCCTGCTGTGTGATCCACAGGAAGGCTATCTTCAGATGCTGCAGGTCAGTAGCTGTGCACAGCAGAAAAAAGTCCATCTTAGAAATTTGCCATGGGATAGTTTTCTGTGGCTGCATTAACTCAGAGGAGGAAGGAAATGAGTACAGATAAATCTGAGGATGTAACCTTTGGTCAACTTTTCTTGACTTTATTTCATTTCCCAGTGCTGAGTGCTTTAGGTGTGATGTTACATCCATGAAGTATCAGCAAGCAGTTGCACTAACTCAGAGCTGATTTTGCATTTCATTCTCTTAAGAATGGTTTTATATTTGAAAATCGTTGTATCATCATAGTCCTGTGGTATTACTGCTTGCTTATTGTACATCTAATTGTTGTGAAAGAGTTAATCTGGGAGGATAATAAAACTCTGATAAATATTGTGTTGCAGAGCATTTAAAATTTAGGTAATGGACTGAATCAAGATGATGTATTCAGTTTGTCCCTTTTCAATAGTTCAGAAGTCTCCAGCAGCTGATAATTGTCTGTGTGTAAAATATGCACTACTAGTTCAAGTTTCAGGTTTTGGTAACACATTTGACTCTGGTGTTAGCAACATCTTGACATTTCTTAGCAATTTGTCCCAGATATCAGAATTTTTCATGCAGTAATTTAAATACTATTTAATAGGTGCTATTTACCAATGACAGTGCAATCATTCAAAAACAAAGGTCTTGGACTTTCAATGAGACTTGTGTATTTTGGTTTACTTTAGACACAGGTAAAAAATCACTTTTGTATCACTGTTAAAGGTGTTGGACATAGCTATAAACTGTAGCGGGACTTTGAATATAAACTTGTTTAAAGCCATTTAATTGCAAACTTCGTCTTAAACTGAGATGGGTTGAGTGAGGACACAGTGGCTGAGCCTGTGGGCTGCCCAGTGTGGGTGTGTGTGGTGGAGTGATCAAGAAGGGGCTTTGTGGTTACTGTGCTGCAAAGAGAGAGAAAAGACAGCCACACACACGGACCTCTTTTGGGGAAAAAAGGCCAACTTTATTGTACAGACATCCCGTATTTAAAGTGTGTTAAGTGCAGGTAGGACAGGACAGTAGTTCATTGGACGACTGGGACAAACATCTCCTGGGACAGCATGTCTGGATGTCCCATGGGAAAGACACCAGGTGTTAATCTTTATTATGAATTCCCTTCTGTTTTTCACCAAGTTATCACTCTGGGAGACTGCCTCCCTTAACTGAAGCTGTAGTCAGCTTGTCAGCCTGGGAATGGACCTGAGAGTCAGGAGAAATCCAGGCCTGAGAGGAATTGCCAAGCTGTAATTTCCTAGCTCTTTAAATGTGTATCCACAGGGCTTGGGGAGGGGCTGTCACCAGCCTGGGCTGCTGCATCCTGCTCAGGAGGGTGGTGTGGGGTCAGAACTCCTGCAAGGTGGAACTCCTATCCAGGCTTGAAAGAGTTTCAGACCAGGGGAGGCAGGGAGATTGTCAGGAAGGGAAGTGGACTAAGATTTCCCAAGGGATAGGAGTGTTAATTTTACTTACTTGCACCCTACTAAAAAGTAGGAGCAGAGACTGATATTCTTTAAGGGACAGATATGAGCAGTTCCTCCTTGAAGAGAAGCTCTGCAAGCTCAGGTTCTGTCCTAGCCATGGCAGAGTTTGGGAAAAGCCAAACACACCCCCTGTAGTTCTAAGCGTGGCTGTGTTCTTTCTGCACAGGGGAAAGTATGTCTGCCTTGGCTCAGAAAGAAAAGACATTTTTGATCTTTATTAGTAACTCTGAGGTATGCTGTAATGAGAACAAAGGCCGTTCATTTCAGAGGATCAAAGCAATTTCCAGTATGATGAAAAATTATCTATGCTGCACCAACAAATCACTCATTGGGGAATAATCTTCCATTACAGCATTTTGAGTATTGCTGCCTATGCTGGTTTATGCATAATCTAATTCAGAGGCTCTGAAGGGCTCTGACAGGCCTGTGAGCAAGTTCTAATTTGCAAATTTGCAAACTGGTAACCGGTTTGCTAGCACCAGCAGCCTCATGTCCTATTACTAAATTTCATTGATAAGGACCTTTAGATAACGACACTCTTCCTGCTGATTTCTAGATATGGATTTGGGGAAATAAAACACTCTCAGTTTCTATCTTCCAGAAATATTATACCACCTTAGAAACTGTCTTTGAGAGAATGGTGTGGTAATGCTATGTTTTGCCCATTAGTTCCTTCTCTATGAACTTAAAAACAAGAGAGATAAAGAAGTGCAGAGATAAAATGTTTTTAGCAGCTGATTCCATAACTTTCATGTACGATTGCATTGGCATGAAAAAGAGCACATGTGAGAGTTCTCCAGATTAGCTGTCCCAGTATATTTTTAAGTGTCTATAGATTGAATACAGGATGCTTTTATCATGCACAGTTATACCTGAAATGCTCCCTAGCTGCATTTATTTTTCATAGGTTTTGCCAAAATATCTTATATAACACCTGGTGGACATACTGCTCATATTAATTTGAGTGTGACTGACATGTTATTAATGGTCCTGTAATTCAGGTACTTGCAATTTTCTGTTTCATTTTTCTGGCTTAAAAAAAGAGTGGTGACCTTTTGCTGTACAGAAGTACATCACTGAATTACCCCCGTTGCCAAAGGCTGCAGGAGCTCCAAGCTCCATGTCAGGCTCCATGAATCCACCAGAGGCAGTGACCGCCTGCCAGCACCGAGTCTTTGTGTTGCTTTGAAGTACTTTGATTAACACCACAGTTTGGAAATCCCTGCCTCATTCTCCCTTGGGCAGTCTCTTATTAATAATTGTTTGTTGTCAAGGTAACTTACCAGCTACTGTTGGTTAATTATTTATTTAATGACTTTGAAGAAGAATAAGCTAATCTCTGTCAACCTCTAGCTGTAGTATTTTTCTAGGGGAGAATTCAGCACTTTTAACAAGCTAGTGAAGAAAGAAACATTTACGTCATGGATTATTAACTTTGTTCTGGCTAAATTAATGAAAATCTTTTTGGAATGATTTTGTTCTCTGTGTCTTTAGTACCATATCCTGGAAGGTTGTTTTTCAGTGGGTGATCATCCCAGTTTGGCATTCTGACAAGCCTTTTAAAGATCAGGCTGTTCTGCAAGCTCATCCAAAAACTCATCTGTTCTGAATGCTTTGTGGAAATCCAATCTTATTCCATCAACCCACTTGTCAAAATTTTGCTCATGCCCTTATTTCTTGCACGTATAATGTACTCAGCTGGGTTTCTGCTTCAAGTGGAGAAAAAGCTTTATAAAGTTCCTTGTCTTGATCATTTTATTTGACTTCAGAGGACTGCATTTCTCTGTGTCTTAGTCTTCAGGTAGGATTTTTTGTGTCCATCTCATTTACTTTTGGTAAATGGAAAAGACACAGTTTAGAACTTGCTTTCTTCCACTGGCCCTTGGTGTCCTGTGGTTTGGGCCATCAGTGTTGTCTCATCTGGAGAGAAAGCACTGAAGCACTTCAGGATTTATAGCTAAATCTAGTTAGTCCTAGCCAGACCTGGTATGTATCCCCACGTGGTATTTGGATAGCATATAGTGGTATAATTGCTATTAAACTTTTTAGATTATTTCAGGAACGTTCTTACAGACTCAATTTGAAAAACTTTTGCCATATAACTTGCTTCTTTCCAGAATATTTTCCATTAAGTACTAGTTTTGATGGTACTCTACAAACCTGATTTTTGATGAAGGTATTTTTTCTTTCATCAGTTTAGTCACAATGCATTCATGAATTCAAAATCAGATTTTTTTTTTGTTTATGTTTTTTTAAGAAAGATTTATTTTTAGAAATGTAATTCCCATTAGTTTGTTTTTGCTTTTGCTTACCATTTGTGTAGTTGATGAGTTCAATCCATGTAAGAATCTAAAGATATTAAAATAGATTGCAAGGACACAGTGTATCTGAAATCATTTAGCATGACCCAAAATACATAGTAGGATTGAAAAGGTAAAAAGAAAACCCCAGCATCCTGTGTCAGAAAATTAATGAGGATATTCCTGATTAAGAGTCCAGCCTCTCTACTGAAGAAGTATTCCAGGCATTGCTTGGACATATTTGAGGAGACGTCAAGAAGTGTGGGAGGATATTCCTTGAAAGAGCTGATCTTCTCCTTGAGTAAAAATTCCATTCTTCAATGATGTGTCCATCAGATAGCTATGTAGGCATCTCTTAGCAGCTGCTCCTGCAAAGTTGGCTTTTTATTTCTGATCTATTTTCTGTTCAAGAGTCACTACAATTTAACTACTGTAAGTGAAGTTATTTTCTTAGATGTATTTGAGTGCCAAAACTTAAGGGCCTGATCCTGCAGTTTTGTCCAACTAAATGGCCTTATTCTCATTTGGCTTGTTAACACTGCTGTTATTACACAACTGTAGAGTCCTACTGAGGAGCAGTAAATATTTATTGAACCCTATTAAAGCATTCACTTTCTCCCATAAAGGATTGATGAGGCACATTTTTCCTTTTCTTTCAATGCAAACCTGTATTTGGTAGTCTTTTTAGCAAAGTTTAATTTGGATTTTTGGCCAGATGTTCAGTCACAGTGAAATTGTTTCTGAGTACAATGTGAATGTAAAATATCCTTGAACTGACTTTACTGCCCATTGCACAGCACAAATCTCTCCCTGAAGCCCAATGACATGTTTTCTACAAGGTGTGTTTGCAGAAGAATTCATTAAAAACCCCAAAGCACTGTGGGTGTCCTGTGGCCATGGGGGGTTTTGTGATCATGCTGGAGGCTAAAACCCCAGGTAGGCTCTGCAGTGATCTTTTCCTCTCTGCCTCTTTTGACTGCTGGATTTCTCTATTTGCATAATTATTTCAATGAATTTTTGTTCGCTGCTCAGTCCGGAAGCAGACAGTACTGGCTTAAGGAAAGCATCAGTACCTCCATTTTTCGTTTGTTTTTGCCTCTGAAACCTAATTTATACCTATATCTATTTATAAATGAGCTAGGACAAAATTATAATCTTGTACACTGTTTTGCAATTCCAGCGTTTACCTCTTGTC